ATCCTCCCCAGCCTTGAAACCTTCCTAGCCTAGTTAGAAAACTAGTGACCCGGATGGGATGTTTTTTGTTTTTTGCTCATGATTCAGTACATTTATTTCCTTCTATGCTTTATGGATGACTCATATCAATGATAATCAACTGTTTTTATGTTATAATTGTTTGTTGATGATTCTTAGATGGCTAATATCATTAGATTGATAAGTGATGCTTGACTCCATGATTGCATTTGAAGTTGCCTAAATGGCCATGAGTAAGATCTGCTAAAAGCTGATTATCTAACATAATTATGCAACTTTTCGATGATGCCAAAAGGGGAAGATAGGTTATGCTTTTTACTTTGGACTGTGATGTTTATAACCTAATAAACCTGGTCCTTGATGATTTGTGTCTTTAAATGAAAAGTGTTCTAACATTGTGTTGACATTAAGCTAAGTTGAAATAGGTTTCATACTTATGAAAAGCACGAAGTTTGTCATCATCAAAACGGGAGAATTTGTTGGCCTGAGTAAGTTTGTTTTGATGATTTACAAAAGAACACACGCATGAACCAGATACATACACAGTGTATACAGACATAGGCATATTCGAGCACAAGGCATGCACGTGAATGAGATAAGTATAAATGGTTATATTGGATATCTTCTAAACGAAAAGGTTGCATATTGGATAAGGATCAGGACTCCTTACGTGAAGAGAACTCTATCCAAGATAAGGGAAGAAGTTAGAATTTAAAGATAACTATATCTCTTCCACCAAGGAAGAGTATAGCATTAGAACTCTAGTTAATCATTGTAACGACCCGACCGGTTGTTTTGCTTCCTAGAACCACGTTCCCCTAAATAAGACTTTTCGTACTTGCTTTAACTAATTTACGACTTGCAGGGATAGTTAGTTCGGGATTTAGAAGAGTTTGGGTTGAATTCGGAACACTTGGTTCCTTAAGGTTGGCTTAAAAAGGCCAAGTTTGACTTCGGTCAACATTTTGAGTAAACGACCTCGGAATCGGGATTTGATGGTTCCAATAGGTCCGTATGATGATTTTGGACTTGGGCGTGTGTTCGGATCGGGTTTTGAGTGACCCGGGAGCATTTTGGAGCCTAATAGTGAAAGTTGGTTCTTGAAGGTTTTGAAAGTTCTTTAAATTTGGTTTGGAGCGGGTTTTGGTGATATCGAGATCCAAACAGAATTTTGAGACCAGAAATAGTTTCGTAATATCATTTAAGACTTCACGCAAAATTTGGTGTCATTCCGAGTAGTATAAGTACGTTTCGGCACATTGGAAGTAAATTGAAGAACTTGAAGTTCTTAAGTTTAATTCAATTGGTTTTAAGGTGTGATTATTAGTTTTAATGTTGTTTCGGGCATTCCGAGAGTTCGTGCAAGTCCGTTTTATGATTCTGAACTTGTTGGTACGTTCGGGGCCCTGAGCGTCTCGGACGAGGACCGGACCAAGTTGGAAGTTTGGAGCAAGAGTTGAAGCTCTAGTTGCTATCGTAACCGCACCTGTTGTTGGTCAGTCGCAGGTGTGAGCTCGCAGGTGCGGGCAACGCCTCGCAGATGCGGCCCAAGGAGAGGAGACCAAGCTCCGCAGATGCGGCTCATTTTCCGCATAAGTGGGACCGCAGGAGCGGGAGCCCGTCCGCAAAAGCAACCCCAGCCGGCCCAGCCAATTCCGCAGAAGCGGATCCGCAAGTGCGGCCTATGCACCGCAGGTGCGGAAAAGCTGGAGGCAGTGGCCTTCATTTAATACGGGAGTTCGGCATTTTTCTCCCATTCTTTACACATTTGGGCAATTGGGGAGCTCTCAAAGAGGGAATTTCGACTAAGCACTTTGAGGTAAGTAATTTCTACACAATGTGAGTTAAATACATAGTTTATGGGTAGATTATAATATGTAAATTACTGAAAATCATGGGTTTAGGTAAAAACCTAGGGTTTTGATAAAAATGAGATTTAACCATGAAATTTATTATGGAATTTAGTAGAAATCATATATTTGTGTTCCTAAGGTTATAGGTAACAACTTCCTTTAAAATTTTCTGGAATCCGAGCATGTGGGCCCATGGGTGAATTTTAGGAATCTTGCAATTTAGGTTGAGTAATCACTTAAATGGTGGAATTATGAACTTTTGAGCATAGATTGATTAGTTTATATAATATTTGACTAGTTTCGAGTCGTTTGGCGTCAAATTTGGAGGTTTGAGCACGTTCTTGAATTGGGAAATAGGCTTTGAGACGAGGTAAGTCTTCTTTCTAATCTTGTAAGAGGGAATTAACCCTATAGGTGAACTAAATAAATGTTTGTACCTATCTGTAGGGCTACGTACGTATGTGGTGATGAGAGTCCGTACGTAGCTACCATTATATTATTGTCCGGATAGTTTAGGACTCGTATCATGCTATATTTGAAATGCTTGCATCCTTACTTGCTATTATAATCACTTAAGTTATGCTGGAAATTGATAAAATAATTATAGAAGGTTATACTCACATACTTGAGGATTTATATGAAATACTTGACTGTAAATGGAAAATGTGTGCTTTCTTGAAAAAAAATTGTTATTTGTGGATCGGACCGAGCGCCTCGATTGTAAATAGATGCATCTATGGCTCGTGTCGTTCGACCCTCCGGCAGTGCACATTTTAATATGATGTTGGACCGGACTGTACGACCTCGGCATAATTGTGCATGTTAATTATTGGAAATTCTTTGTGATTTATACTGCTTAAATGCCTTGAAATGTAAGTGGTTAAATGATATGACTGAAATTTGAAATCTTATTTATGAAAGAAGAACTTATCACTTCCTGTTATTAAACTGTCAGTATTATTCATGATATCCATGCTTAGCATAACATTTTAATTATATTATTGTTGACCCTAGTAAGTGTCAAGTCGACCCCTCGTCACTACTTCTTCGAGGTTAGACTGGATATTTACTGGGTACATATTGTTTATGTACTCATACTACACTTCTGTACTTAATTATACAGGATCTGAGGCAGGTGCATCTGGTTACCGGCCCAGCGCGCATACTTGAACTTGGACTGAGACTTCACGGTGAGCTGCCCGCTTCCAAGCCGTTCAGCAGCATACCGGAGTTTCTCTTTTGTTGTTTCTGTCTATTCTATTTCAGATAGTAGGATAGTCATCTTTTGTATATTCTGCTAGTTGTCCACACACTTGTGACATTAGATATTGGCACATATTAGTATACTTAATTTTTGGGTTGTATTTCTATAGTTATGATTTCTTTTAGTTGTTTCCGTTTTGCTTACCTTAAAAATCCATTATTTATCAAATGCTTTAAATTTAAGTAAAGTTAGATATTGGGATTGTGTAATAAAAAAATGGGAACTCACTAGTTGATCAGTGTTGGCTTGCCTAACAACGGTGTTGGGCACCATCACGACCAATAATGGAATTTGGGTCGTGACAATCATTTTCGACTAACTCTAGATATTCAGGATATTCTCGTTTACAGACACGCACAAACGCTGAAGTTAAACGAGAGTTGAGAGCAAAATAACAAGGCATTTTACAAGCAATTCTTGTGTGATTCAAGTGTGCGAGTTGGAAGCCACATGAACCAGATAGAAGAACCAGTTCCAAGTGTCTGTCTTTTATTCTATGTCAATTGCAGTAGGACTTTTGAGTTGTAGCTTCAGCTTTCTGTAGAAGCATTTGTACTAAGTACTTTGAGTTGTAGTATTCAAGTTAGAGTTAACTTGAAGTTGTCGCAACAGTCTGAGGCTAGTTTCCACAAAGGGTTAGAGGTAATCCTTAAGTTTACAAGAGTTTTGTAAACGCTGTTTTGGCTCAGTAATTTAGTGAAGTGTTGGGAAAATCCTACCGGGTGTTTTTTCACCTTTTGAGCTGGGTGTTTTTTCACCTTTTGAGTTGGGTATTTTTCACGTAAAAAATAATTGTGTTCTTTACTTTCTGCATTTATTATTCTGCAACAGTAGTATAAGAAACACATAGAAGAACCAGGTCCTTCTATAATCTATGCACGCAAAAAATTGGACACCACACAAATCAACGACCCTCTTGTGTGGTATTGAAGTATAAAAATATCAAGATATCATACTAACACTAATGCTAACGAACTGGGTAAGACAAAGAGAAACACTCGACTACTTACTAGCCTTCTACCCTAATTCTCGACATCTACACATTCCGATCTAGGGCCATGTCCTCGGTTAGCTCCAGTTGCGCCATATCCTACCTAATAACCTCTTCCCAAGACTTCTTAGACCTACCTCTATGCCTCCTAATACCCATTGACATGCCCGAACCGTCTCAACCTTGTCTCCCGCATTTTATCTTCCACATGGGTCATTCCCACTTTATTCCGAATAACTTCATTCCTAGTCTTATCCAACCTGGTATGCCAAATTTACAAGAATGAGGGACAAAAACTTGGGCATTAAAAGAAGAAAAGCTTAAGCACAGTTACATAAAACCAAAAGTTTCTTGAATCATGACAGCACTGAAACATCATCAGTATCGTTGTTGGATATCCAACCAACAGAACATGGCAATATGAGTCAAAAGAAGAAATGACAACTCCACCTATTGAGGAAACAACTATCAATTTGTAAATACTAACTTCATGAATGCAACTGGCAACAGAATGCGAGAAATTAATACAATTTCAAATGTGAAATTGAAAATTAGAATGGACATTAAAACATCAAGCAAGCATGTATAAAAATGACTCCTCAGAGGAACTACTGTATATTGAATACATAATCAACTGCCCTGCAACCAATCCAAGGTTAAGATAATCTCCAAGACTGCAACTAATAAATAGACGTCCGAGAATGGAAGATGAAACTTCCTCCACTCTTAGAAAGAGAAATATATTTCTTAACAGGAAATGCAAAAAGCATCAAGTATCTGGTAAGAGCATGGCATAAAGCCATTTGTTTTAATCTTCTTTTCTCTTACACGCACTTAAGTAGTCCCCAGAGCCTTTACTCTCAAGCTCTCAACAAAGGCAAAACTTGATTGTCACTTCCTATTTTGCAGATTAAAATGTTTTTCCTACTATTGGATCAAGTGCCGTAAATCACGAGTTGACATTCTATCTCACAGCAATTATAGATCAAGGGCATAACAAAAGGAATGCTAAAGAAGTTGAAAGCTTGAAATTAGAATCTTTGCGTCAGTGTACAATACACAAACTTATTAAGGAGATGAAAAATGCTCAAGAGGGTGAAGTAGGGGTCGGGGAACACAAGTCGTTCCAATTGAAAAAGGGAGAAATTGCATGTCATTCAAGTATGATTGCAGGTGGAGAATAGTCACAAATTTATACTGCGTAGTTGAGTAGCCAATATCCAAAGAAATCTTGTAAATAAAATGAGCTGAGCAATAACAGATCACATGAGGCCATGCAAGTTGCAACCAAATTGGGAATTCTCCTAGCTATTTATGAAAACATGACTCAAACCAAACCATGTACACCCCTAGCAGGAAGCATCACATCATAACATCACGCCAGAGTTCAGGGAATCGAGTAAAAGAAGCAGCTGGATATATACCTAAAGGGATCAAAACAAAAGAGGGAGGTAGGTGACCACAGCCAAAGCACCAGAAAGTCATGATCTAATGCCATTTGATAGATATGCACTCTCTCACAAGAATTTCATAGCACATATTATCTAATTAAACAAAATTTAATTAGCCATCCTACTACATAACCATATGACTGTGTGATGACTGACAACACTTTGTTTTTGCATCTTGGCTTTCCTCTTGTATTTATCCTTTTTTGATTTTAGTATTTATCTTTTATTGATTTTAGGACCCGACTCCACTCTTATATTTTAGAGCTGAATTCCAGTTTTGCTTCGAGAAAACATCTTCCCAAAACCATTCCTACTTTTGGAGGTGATCACCTGAGTAGCTGATGAAGTAGACGATGATGACGAAGAAGATGATGACTCTCCTTCATTTCCATTCATAGAATGACTAGAATTCTCAAACTTTGTAGTATCTGAATTTTGTCTTGAGGTCAATGTCTCATTTACATGCAACTTCCATTCCTCTCCGCTAGCTCTAGCCACAACTGATCCTCCTCCAGAAAATCCAGGAAGATTTGCAGTGTCTATCAAGAAATCTTCTAAAGTAGCTAGTGACTGAAGCTGTTTCCCAAGAGATGCAATTGTTTTCTGGCAGTCTGCAAGCTTGTCAGCAGCTACAGCTAAGTCTTCCTGCAAATAGAAAAGTTCATAATTCATAAGTTATTTCCTCTTTCTTCTTTCTTCACATGCAGAAGAAAAGTTTCAAGACTTTCCAAGAACAGAAACAGAAATCATTGAGATAAACCTTACCTGCTTTATTTTCGATTCACCATTTGAATTAGAAGCTTTCTGAAGTTCAGCATCCTGAGATTTTTTTCTTAGTTCAATTTCCAATTCGTGGCACTTAGTTTCCATATCAGATGACAAGGATCGTTCTCTTTCAACTTCTTTCTTTAAAGAATCAATGTTTGTTGACATAGTCCGCACTTCTACTTCCATGCCAAAGAGTTGAACCTCTAGCAACTCTTTCGACTCATTCACTACATCTAGCTCTTTCTGCATCTCTTCTATCTTGATTTGAGCTTCCTTAAGCTGCAAGTCGGACACCTTAAGAGCAGATGACAAGGATCGTTCTCTTTCAACTTCTGTCTTTAAAGAATCAATATTTGCTGACATAGTCCGTGCTTCTACTTCCATGCCAAAGAGTTGAACAACTAGCAACTCTTTCGACTCATTCACTACATCTAGCACCTTCTGCAGCTCTTCTATCTTGATTCGAGCTTCCTCAAGCTGCAAGTCAGACACCTTAAGAGCAGATGACAAGGATCGTTCTCTTTCAACTTCTGTCTTTAAAGAATCAATATTTGTTGACATAGTCCGTGCTTCTACTTCCATGCCAAAGAGTTGAACCTCTAGCAACTCTTTCGACTCATTCACTACATCTAGCTCCTTCTGCATCTCTTCTATCTTGATTTGAGCTTCCTTAAGCTGCAAGTCGGACACCTTAAGAGCAGATGACAAGGATCGTTCTCTTTCAACTTCTGTCTTTAAAGAATCAATATTTGCTGACATAGTCCGTGCTTCTACTTCCATGCCAAAGAGTTGAACAACTAGCAACTCTTTCGACTCATTCACTACATCTAGCACCTTCTGCAGCTCTTCTATCTTGATTCGAGCTTCCTCAAGCTGCAAGTCAGACACCTTAAGAGCAGATGACAAGGATCGTTCTCTTTCAACTTCTGTCTTTAAAGAATCAATATTTGTTGACATAGTCCGTGCTTCTACTTCCATGCCAAAGAGTTGAACCTCTAGCAACTCTTTCGACTCATTCACTACATCTAGCTCCTTCTGCAGCTCTTCTATCTTGATTTGAGCTTCCTTAAGCTGCAAGTCGGACACCTTAAGGGCACCTTCGCTCTCACATAAAGCATTCTCCAGTTCAGCTTTCTCTGCCTTAATCTTCTCCAGCTTTTGTTCTAATTCGGCTACCCTTTGTGAAATGGCCTCACACTCTGCTGCAAGGGGATTCTCTTCAATTGGGGAGTCATGGGCGACAGCATCACATGTAAGTGAAGTGGCTTTATTCACAGATACTGCAGCGAGTCTCTCCATCTCCAAAAAATCATCCATCATGTCAATTTCCATAGAATGGGCAGCAAGAGTTTTAGGTATGGCTTTTTCATTCTTAAATTGATCGAGCTCAGCAATTAGTGCTGATGCCCATGAATCAGAGCAACTTTGTTCACATTCACTTGTTTCCAGTTTGTGCATCATGTGGCTATCAAAGGATCTTTGGTCACGTAGTAGGGATGATTTGCAAGCCAAGGCTTGTAGTCTTCGACACTTGGCTTCAAGCTTGGTCACCTTCTTTATGCTCTCTAGCTGCTGCTTGCTAGCAGTTTCAGCTGCTTGGGTGCTCAATTCACGCTCTATGGTCGTAATTTGCAACTCCTCTGAACAAGAACAAAGGTCGAGTTTAAGAGCTGTGTTCTCCTTCTCTAGACACTCAAGCCTGACAAGAACATCTGGATCAGTAGAAACAGGAGGACTAGTTCCACTAGCCTCAGCTTGTGTCTGAAGCTCAAGTAGCTGATTTTCAAGTGCACCTTTCGCAGCCTCCCATTCTTTTTTCTTCTCTTCCACAGCATCCTGAATTCTTTGCTCCTGCTCATCTCTCGCTTGTCTTAGCTGCCTGACACATTCCTTGAGAGCACCATTAAGATGGTTGACGCGAACATCCAAAGTCAAGTTCTGCTGCACAGCTGCCTCGAGTTGCTGCTTTAAAACTGCAACCTCATTTTCTGCCTTTTCCCAACCTACAAAATAGTACAAAAAGAACATGGAACTAATCAAGAGAAAAAAATACATGATTGATTGGAAGGCAAAGAAAGACGCTCAAGTTCCAGAAAACTATTTCCATATGTGATTCATGTACAGCAAAAGCACTGGAAATCGTCTAGACACCATTTCTAAGATTGCATTCAGAACTGCGGAAGAAAGGACATGGTGGAAGATACCTGCAACAGCTTCTTCTGCTACTTTAACATGCTGTTTAACTAAGTCTTCTTTGGCACTAACATTGACTAGAGCAGCTGATAACTTTTCTATCAACTTCCTAGGACTTTCCTTTGCTTCATGATCAATAGTTACAGCTTTTGAGGTTACTTCCGGTGACTGGTTGTCATGATCTGGAGTTTCTTTTAATGCATCCTGCTTCAAATAGCAGAGAGTTGCAAGAGTTGAAGTGAGAAAATTCAAGTCAACAAGAAGCACAGACAGGAAAAAACCAGGAAGAAGAGACAAGCAGAAAACAAAACAGGAGTAAAGGCGCCAGGAGCGTGGCATAAATAATGATAACAGGTGAATGACGGCAATATCAGGAAGAAAATTACTTGAGGGGACATACTTTTGCTCTCAAGGACTTACAGGTAACATGATTAACATTTGGTTGATTGGCTTTGACATTTCTAACTTTTGCGGTTTTGCCTACTCTATGTTTATGCACCCGCATTTATAATCTTTTGCCCCTTTTTGGAGTCCTTCTGTTTTTGCATTAGAATTGCTTTTGAATTAGAATTACTTGTCAAAAGCAGAAACATTCACTGCTAATGTTTCAAGACTATAGTCCTTGAATCTAAGTACACAGCATCAGTCATTTATGAAAACCTCTGGCACTTTCTCTGTACACCATCTCCTTCCAGCACTGAATAGCTTCTAACTTGTACATTGATCTCCAGACTAGGAGTGTGGCACACAACGGTATCAAGTTTGGGATGTGTCCATTATTATTATACTTAGCTAGTACAATGCAAAATGCAAATTAAGCGAACTGCCAATCATTATTCTTTCTCTAAATAGATACTCTTCACAGATAATGAAAGATGTTTTTGGCTGCTTAACTATATGTGGGACTGACATAATCAGCTCCATGCTGAAGTCTTTCACACCTATATTGGATCTGAGATGCATGGCTTCAGAACTGGAATCTTTGAATATTGATCTTAAGTTGATAAAAACTTAAAATTTACACAAGTGCATAAATTTAATACATAGTTTAACTTTTAACACTTCTTAACTATGAAAATGTGAGCAGCATATTTCGTTCAACCATTATCAGTTTGAAATCATTCATATAAAGCTTTAAGTATGTAGCTGTGAGAAATCAGCAATGTATTTTATCAAGTGTGTGACGAGGTTAGCCTTCTTCATATCAGCACGACTAATTATAAGAGTATCAAGTCAACCTATGAACAATGAGAACCTCTTTTTTTTTGGCTTGTACCTGCTCATCAGAGTGTCTCTCTGAATGTGATGACAATGAACCACAACTCTCAGTTTCAGCGCTGCTCTTCTCAGAAGGTCTTCTTTTCCACAACCAATTCCTCTTTTCCATCTCAATAAACAAACTAAATCTCCTACAACCTCATCCCTCAATGTCCACCTGCATATAATTGACACCACTATTCAATACTAATTAAATGACCAAACAGAAAACTTTTCTGGTAAGCGGTCCAGATAACAACTGAGAAGCGAGAGGAAGCAAAACACTTTTGATTTACAACCCTTCCTAGACGAAAAAAATATTCATTTACGGCTGTAGTCATTCAACAAACAAAAAGATAACTTGGCTTCGCATTCTTTCAGCTTTCCTTTGAATCCACTCCACTAATGAATATGTATCTTGTACTCAAATACTAGAACTGAAACCAAACATACCAAAAAATATAAACATTTCAACAAAGCAAAAGACCCCATTACTCAAATTATACAATAAAAAGCACTCATCCCAAAGAATCCACCAAATCTCCAAAATGACAACACAAACCCCCTAGGCGGAGCTACAGTTCCGCTTCAACAAAACCTTGGCTCACAGAGCCTCAGACCATATATTTGTGTTAAATGATCCATTTAAGATGCATAAATAATTTATTCAGAACCAAGTGTTCTATAACTATAAACTCAAAATCCTAGCTCCATATATATTACATTAACAATAAGGACAGGAACATGAAGGAATGACTAAAATGACATTCCTCGAGCAACAGAAAAATGGCCAGAACAAAACGATCTACGAATACCCAATGAAATTAGATCCAGGTTTGTTCAAACGAATAACTAAAAAAAAGAAACAAAGAAGAAAACAGCACACCTGAGTGTAGACGAAGAAAATCAAATGGGAAGTTGGAACCAATACTATTAACCACTGTATTTGAAAGAAGAAGAGTTTGGCTTTAGTGGGTGTTGAGATAACAGAACTGCAGAACAAATTAAAAGACCAACTCAGTCAAAGATGTGTGGAATGTCAGTTAAAGTGTTTAGGTAACAATTACTCCAACGACAGAGGAAGGAACGCTCTATGCATTAAAGGAAAAATGGATTATTTTATTCTTTTCAGACAGTTTTTAATGTGTTTTCCTCTGGTTTTGAAGCTAATATTTTCGAATACCGAAAAGGACCCAAGAGCAAGCGCATGTGATGCAGAATGGAAACACCGCAGAGTCTACACTTTTTTCATAGCACCTTTTTTTTACGCTTTCTTTTTTTGTTTGTTTATTTTGAAATTAATCTGAGATTCATTCCCGCCCTTTGTAGACTAAGTGGTTTACTGTAGAAGGGAGTATTTAATATTCAGTTAAGAATAATTTGATGCACAGACAGAGGTCTCTGCCTCGACTTCTACGTTTTCTCTGTATGCTTTTTTCGTCTTTCTCTTGGTTCCTTCAATAAGGAAATATACCATCTTTTAGCCTACTTTTATTTTTTAATTTATTTAAAGAAAAGGAGAAGGCCAAAAAATGGTTTATTTCTTTTCTCTTTGATTGGTTCTCCATAGAGGCAAGTTTGCGTCAGACCTGACGAGTGAAGGCATTAAAAATGACCTCTCCTGAGCAAATGAATTGCCCAATTATAATAGACATAATAGTCCTTTCTTTAGACAAGACACAGAATGAGCAAAGAAGGGGAAAATGGAAAGGAAGTATGTGGAGGAAGCACTAAGGCGCCGGCCGCTTGTCCATAAAAATTTTATATAAAAAAATCCAAATATTACTTGTTTTTTTAAATTATAATTTTTATGTCCAAACGCCTACCAAGTGTACATTTTTTCAAAGTATTGAGCAATTTAAGTTAGAAAACATTTTCTTTAACATATCCTCATTATTGATATTTTTTTCATATACTTTCAATTAAAATGGTTGTAAGTAATATACTGATGGAAAAATGGATTAAAAGGTAGTTATTTATTTAAAAATGGGTCAAATATTGATAAGATATATACTATCCACTCGAAAAATGAATTACCAATGGTTTTAACTTTTACATTTGCAAAGATTCAAATTGGATTATATGGATAATATGGTTATCTTATATTATCTTATCCGTATGTTAACCCATTTTTTATCTATATTAAATATGGGTCGGGTCGGATAATTTATCTATTTTTACATTACCCATTTTTCGACACGTCCATATCTCACACGACCCGCCCATTTGCCTCCCTTACTTCTAGAACGAGCCTCTAAAAGCATTACTATGTTATGAAAATGTTATATTGTGAATGTCTATTTATTACTCTGTTGTAGATAATCTTCCTACAGAAAATTATCCATTAATACCTCATTGAAGTTTATCTACAAGGAGCTGATGAAGGCAGGTTACAAGCAACTTAATGAAATGACTTGCAGTAGCTTCTTATTAAATAGGCAAGTTGCGAGCAGCTCATGCACACTAGGGTTGTTCAAAATTGAACCATAACCGTTAATCGAATCGCAAAAAGGCTTATTGGCTTATTGGCTTATTGGTATCGGGTTATCGGGGTAATGGTTGGTGAACAGATTAAAATTTTATAATTATATTTTAGGGCGGATTATTCAATTTCCTTATTGGATAAACCGTTAACCCGTGAAGTATTTTAATATTTATACTTTTACCCCTATATATAAAGTAATATTTATTGGTTGGTCCTAGGTATATGGAACCCGTCGTGATCTAGTAATAGATGTAGACCTTGATGTAGGATTGGATTTAAGTTAGTTGGGGCGAAGTAGTACTACTAGTCTACTACTTCCATATATACATTATATATGATTAAGCTAAAGGTGGTTGATAATCTTGTTACCCAAACACTATAACTAGCTTCAGCTTTGAATGAATTTGATTTGCAATGACGAAGCAAATTCAAGAAATTTTAGCTTTAATCAGTTAGTTCATCTTTGAAGAGCATCATTATTGGGGTTCAATTTCTATTTTCTAGTCTTACTCAGTTAGTTCAGTTTTCAATACAAAGGGTTTCATTTACTTCATTCAGAATCATTGCAAAGACAAAATAGATGTGATGTTTACTCCAAATGTTTCCTCAATCGCTAATCTGATAAGCCGCGGGATAATCGTTAATCCGATACCAATCTGTCTGATGTCTTATTGGTTTGCTAGTGGATTACTATATTTATAAACCGATAAGCCAAATTATTAGCGTAAATATATGCTCAATTCGCCCAATAAGCACCCCAAATGCAGACAGCTTACAAGCAGCCCAAGAAAAAAGTCGCAACTACTTCCTGAAAAGCCTCACAGCTACTTCCTTTCTTCTATAAATAGAAATTATTTTTTGTTTATTATGTACCACTACTAGAAATCCGATAAAATTCAACCAAGGGGTACCGACCAATGTTGGTCGGTCAACAAAAGCAACTAAAATACCGTCCAAAGCAAATGGAAACTACCAAAATATATTTTATACTTTTTTAAATTACATACCGACCGAAATCGATCGATATATTAGTCAAACATTTGACCGCAATGGTCAGACTTGCTTAGTCAAATCATCTTTTTGATTACCGATCAACATTGGTCGGTTAGGTAGACCCATATTTTTAAATTTTAATAATTATATTATTATTTAAAATATTTTATAAAATTTATAGTTAAAGTTATGACCAAAGTCGGTCGGTTATTACAGGAGAAGATTTTACCGACCAACTTTGGTCGGTAGCTGTGATTTCTGAAAAATAACCGACCAACTTCAGTCGGCTCATAGGTCAAACATGGTCAAACTTTTAAATCACATTAAAATTTACTATCTAAATAACATAAATATAATCCGTTAACTCTTTATTTTATAATACAAATAATAAATGCACTAACATATACTATAACAAGCTATATATAGTTAAAGTAGTACGACGAAGCGAGAGAGAGAGAGAGTGTGTGTGTGTGTATATAGTCGCATCTAAGAACGCGAAGTGCTTGGGCTATAGGGTAGGGTTCTTTGGGGATAGACTTGTGAAGAAGCAATAATCTAATTAGTATATATAACTGATCATCATCAAATATATCTATTTATAATTTGATTCATCGACTTATAATTTACTTAGATGAATCGATGAGTATTAAAAATAAAACGTCTCGGCCTATATCCATGAATATTAAAAACAAAACCTCTCAACCTATAATGACTAATCAATGTCATGCATTATTAGTGATGAATGAATGAAATATAGAACAATACTAAACTTCTTTGGCATATATATATGTGTATCAAAAAAATAAACGAAAGAAGCTATTAGCATTAAGTAAACGAGTTAACATAACAATCGACTAACATATTTAAAATACAATAATATAGGTTTACCAATTCATCAATTGATCAAGTTTTCATGCGTAGTAATGTATGTGATTGATCATCAATTACAGTATAATGTGTGTGTGTGAAATGACTCATATACTTAATTATAACTTAGAAAATTAAGTTAGATAGATGAATACAAAAGGTAAAATGTCTTGACCGATATTTATTAATCTATGTGACTTGTAATTAGTTATAAAATGAATGAGTATATAAGACGAAACGTGAAATTCGAATAAAATAAATATCACATATATATACCTTTATTTATTTATTATGATTGATTAATTATATATATGTGTGAATAAAATATATGTTTATAGTTTATCAAAAGTATTTAGTTAACATACTTATTTATAAAGATTATGCTTATAATTTATAATTATTTATTAGTAAATATATATGTGAATAAAATATATATACTTATAGCTTATAATTATTTTTAAAAGTTTATAATTTTTTAAGAAATAATAACTCAAAAAAATTAATTTAGGTTTTTTTTTAAAGATAACCGGCCGAAATCGATCGATTAACCGTGGTCAAACACAGTCAACAGTCACTTAAGTATACCAATCGACGTCGGTCGATACCTTTAATTTCATATCTGAAATACAGGGTTTCCCCCTCATTTCTCTTCTTCTCTTCTCAGAATTTTCTAACTCTCACTCTTTTCTCCCTCACACCCACAGCCCACCTTTCCGTTGCTCCTTCTCTTCTCCCTCATACATATCCCATTCCCCACTCCATGCAACCCCAAGTCTCCACTATCCCCGTCGTTGCCAACGTCGCTGCTACTGCCTCCACTTCCGCCTTTGCCCCCCTCCTCCACCTCCTAAAAATTCCAGGTTTTGATTTGAACTTACATTATTTGTATGATTTTAATATTTTATTAATTAGTAAATTATTGTTTAACTTTGAATTTTATTGAAATCTAGGGTTTAAGTCTTGTTAAAATTGAATTGAATTGATTAGTAGGATGTAGATTGAATGTTAAGTTAGTATTGACTTGAGTAGTTTGGTTAGGAATTGAATGTTTAAATTTGAATTGATTGAGCTTTTAGGATTTGTTCTTATGAATTAAACTTTTAGGGTATAAATTTAACTTTTAGGGGTAAGTGTTAAACTTTTTGGATAGAGCGTATGTTTTGTGAGGTTAATTGAATTGTTTAGAGTATGGGTTGAATTTTTAGGATATGAATTAAACTTTTAGGGGTAATGGTTGAACTTTTTGGATATGAATTGAGCTTTAAGGGATAAATGATGAACCTTTTGAATATGAATTGAACTTAGAGTTTATGTTTAAATTGAATGAATCATAATTAGTTAAATTTACTATAATTTAATTTTGGTGTAATTAGTAAGAAATAATTATCTTAATTAACTAAAAATAATATAAATAATTTATAATTGTAGAATAAATTAAGTAGTTCTAATAATCATGGAAATATCTTAATTATTTTTGTTTTATTTGTATAGATGGAACATCATACTTGGATGCACAATAGGAATTATCCTAATCGGCGGGGATTGGGGAAGGATTCTGTAGAAGGGGTTGATGACTTTATTAGATATGCAATGTCACTTTCATCATACCAAATTGAAGGAGTAATTAGGTGTCCTTGTGTTAAGTGCGATTATGTGAAGTTTAAATAAACTAAAGAATTAAGCTCCATCTTTATAGGAAGGAATTTATAGATATTTACTTTGTGTGGACTAATTATGGAGAGATCGATGGTATCTGTGACATATTTTATAACATGGTTGTTGGTGAAAGTAGTAGGTCGGTGGAAAATAGGAATCAAGATTCTACAATTCATGATATGGTTGTGGATGCTTTTGGGATGCACTTCAGGGTTGAGCCCAATAAAAATATTGTACAAACTCCTAATGATGATGCAAAATATTTTTATGAACAGTTAGAGAAAGCTAGTCGTCCACTACGCGAAGGAAGTCGGCACTCTAAGCTGTCTGTTGCGGTTAGATTTCTAAGTATCAAATCTGATTGAAATATTTCTCATGCGGCCATGTACTCTTTCATTGATCATATAAGTGAACTAGTTGACCCAAATATCAACTTACCTGTTGATTTCTATAAGGCAAACAGATTGGTTTTAGAAAGTTGTAAATTCTGTGAAAACCCTCGTTTCAAGAGGCTTTCCAGCAGGATTATGGTTCTCGTGAATGCGATGCATTATTTGGCTCTTATACCTAGGTTAAAGAGATATATGTGTCGATGAGTTATGTTCCTCATACAAGATGTCACTTTGAAAATAAAAGACCATCTGGTGTTAAGTATCATCCTTCAAATGGAGAAGCTTGGAAGCACTTTGATAAGACATATCCAGATTATGCTAGTGAACCAAGGAACATTCGGTTAGGTTTGTGTACGAATGGCTTCATGATTTTTTCTATATCTGCGACACCATATTCATGTTGGCCAGTCTTTCTTACTGTCACGACCCAAAGTTCCCACCATCGGGACCGTGATGGCACCTAACATTCATTTGCTAGGCAGCCAACGTTAGAGAATCATTAAGCCAATTCTTATACATTTCAGTAATTAACAACAAATAAGCTACAACGAGTTAAAGTGAATGCAAAATTTTATAACAGTCTCAATATGTGTACTACTACCCGGATCTGGAGTCACAAGTCACGAATATTCTAGGATTTACTACAAATAAAAGTCTGAAAGAAGTACAACTGTTTGAAGGAAAGAAACAATAAAACAGAAAAGATAGACGGGGACTTTAAGGTCTGTGAACGCCGACAGATCTACCTTGAGTCTTCAGTGGTCCGGTCCGAGCTGTTATGCCTTTCAATCAACTAGGACCAATATCAAAATCTGCACAAGAAGTGCAAAGTACAGTATCATTACAATCGACCCCATGTACTGGTAAGTGTCGAGCCTAACCTCGGCGAAGTAGTGACGAAGCTAAGACAAAATACCCACAAATAAACCTGTGCAATTTAACAGTATATGTACTAATAACAGCAATGAAAGAACGAGATAAGTAATATCGGGAAAGGGACATGCTGAGGGGATCATAACATAAAGAATCACAGCAGTAATAAGAACTTAATCCACCAATATGCCTTGAACAGATAGGAACAAGTAATCACAGTAAAGGAAAATGCTAGGCATCACTCTTCGTGCTTTTTCTCTCAACCTCACCATATGATTTAATAGAAACGGCACAGCATCACCATTCGTGCATTAACTCTCTCATAACATGGCACGACATCATCCTTCGTGCAGTAACACTCACAACATAGCATGACATCACCCTTCATGCATTAACACTCACAATATGGCACGACATCACCCTTCGTGCATTAACACTAACAAAACATGGCATGACATCACCCTTCGTGCATTAATACTCTCCATGTCACGACCCAATTCCCGAACTCGGTCGTGATGGCACCTCTTGTGAAGACAAGGTCAGCCAGACCAAAACGGAACACCTCTTTAAGCAGTTAATTATCATAAACAGTAATAAACAAAATATAATATCCATAGATTGCGAAAATTTAATGATAACAACAGTGGAAACCATCCCGATACAGCCTAAACCGGGGTGTCACAAGTCATGAGCAACTAAGAAATACAGTTACAAGTCTACTGAACACTAAATCCGATACAATAGTTCTAAAAACATGAAAATGTTAAGATAAGGGAGGCACGGGGCTGTGAATGCCAACAGCTACTTCGTAGTCTCCGAATCACTGCCTGAACTGGGAGAATCAGCACTCAGGAGCGGACTCTGCGATGCTTGAATCTGCACGCATGGTGCAGGGAGTAATGTGAGTACTCCGACTCAGTGAGTAATAATTATAAATAATGGCTGAAAGTATAAAAACACGTAAAGGCACAAAGTAATTCCATATCAAGCAGTAAAATCACTTAAAGTAGTAAATCAGTGAAGAAATTAAATGATATTCCTTTTTAAAACAAGTAAAACAAGTAATTTAACAGGTAAATAACAAGTAGAAATCCTCCCCTCGGGCACAGTATCAATTGCTCAGAACAGTATCATCCCCTCGAGCTCACTCTCAGTACAGTATCAGCCCCTCGGGCTCACTCTCAGTACAGTATCAGCCCATCGGGCTCACTCTCAGATCATAATGGGTACTCGCGCTCACTATGGGTGTGCAGACTCCGGAGGGGCCCCTTATGGCCCAAGCGCTATATAAACCCACCTCGTGGCATCATCACTCGGCACTCGGCCTCACATCACTCAAGCCACCTCGTGGCATATAAAGTATCACAGGCCATCGGCCTCATATCACTCAGCATATCCTCACATATGGCCCTCGGCCTCACTCAGTCCAAAAATCATCACAAGCCCCTTGGGCATTAGTAAAACAGTAGTTCTAAGCCCAAAACATGATGTAGAAATATCATTTAAGTTTCAAATCTGAGTAAAAGTGGCTGAGTTTGTAAAACAGTAGATATCAACAGGACTGAGTTCAAATAATAAGTCAAGTAGTGAGGAAACAGTGATAAAAATCCCCGAATGGTTCAAATAGTTGGCACGAATCCCAAATATGGTAATCAGCCTAAATCATAATGATAACAAATGAATTTCAGTCAAATACGCGGTAAAATCATTAATCGAGACGGACCAAGTCACAATCCCCAGTAGTAAAAGACCTCACGCTCATCATCCAGCGCGTATCTTGCCTCAATATAGCATTACGATGTGCAATCCGGGGTTTCAAACCCTTAGAACATCATTTACAATCATTACTCACCTCGAACCGGCTAATTCTCTAGCTCGCGACATCTTTGCCCCTCGAATTGGCCTCTACGAGCGTCGAATCTATCCAAAATCAGAACGAATACGTCACAATATGCTAAGGGAACAAAGCCTAAGTGAAAACATTCGAAAAATATCAAAAATCCCGAAATTAGCAAAACCCGAGCCCCGGGCCCACGTCTCAGAATTAGGTAAAATTTACATTTTTAGAATCTTCATACCCTCACGAGTCTAACCATACCAAAATTATCCAATTCTGATACCATTTGGTCCTTCAAATTATCATTTTATATTTTTGAAAGGTTTCACAATTTTCTTCTCAAATCACGAATTAAATGATGAATTCAGTGATATATTCATGTATTCTAGCCAAATATTAGTTAAAATCACTTACCCCGATGAATTTCTTGAAAAAACTTCGAAAAATCGCCAAAATTCGAGCTCTCTAGGTCAAAATATTAAATAAAACCCAAAACCTCGTATTTATAGAGTACCCCTCAGATTTCAGCCTCCGCAGGCCGCACCAAATCGACCGCAGTCCGCACAAGCCAGTGCGGTCCGCGCAAAAACAACCGCGGCCACACAGGCCTTCCTCTGCAGTAACAGGCCTTAGTATTTTAGCCATAACTTTTTCTATAGATGTATAAATTGTGATATCCTTACTTTTCTGGAAACTAGACATGAAGGGATACAACTTTTGTTTTTGAACCATCTCGAAATTCCTTGTAGATCAAACGATATGAGCTTCCGAAGTAGGACTAGTAAATCATTCCCCACTGCTGTCGCACACCATTTTGTGCGGTCCGCATGACACCTACCGTGGCTGCACTTCTTTTTGTGCGGTCCGCACAGCACATACCGCGGCCGCACTTCTTTTTGTGCGGACCGCGCGGGTGGTTTCCGAGGCCTGCAACCCTCCTAGATCTGCTACAGCTATGATTTTCGGCCTAAAACATCCCGGAACCTACCCGGGACCCCCGAAACTTCAAACTAATTGTACCAACACATCCCATGACATCGTTCAAACTTGTCCAACACTTCGGAACGCTTACAACAACATCAAATCACCAATTTAACATAGGATTCAAGCCTAAGAACTGCAAGAACTCTTAAATTATGCTTTCGCTCAAAAAGTCTATCAAATCTCGTCTGAATGACCTGAAATTTTGCACACACATCCCAAATGACACAACGAAGCTATTGCAACTCTCGGAATTCCATTCCGACCCTTATATCAAAATCTCGTCTATCAACCTGAAATTGCCAAAATATCAATTTCGTCAATTCAAGCCTAAATCTCCTCTACAACTCCAAAATCCATTCCGATCGTGCTCTGAAGTCACAAATCACCTCCCGAAGTTCGTCAACATGATAAGAATGATCAACATAATGGTTAACTAGTCTAAACATGGATAATATGATCACGGAAAGCAACAATTGCGAGAATAAGACCCACTCGCATGTTATGACCCGATAACAATGCATAGGTACTCGTCACCTCACCTATACATTGTAATCAACATTCAAACACGTAGCAAATAGGCAAATAAGACCTAATCCTTCAAGCCAAGTTTAACCACGACACTTACCTCGCTCCAACAATCAAACTCAAAGCTCAACCACGGCGTTTCCTCTCAAACGAGCCTTCGAACCAGTAAAATCTAGCAGATTACCAACCAAACGATTCAATAAAGCCTTAGGAACTACCCATGATTGCAAAGAATTCAATTTAGGCCATTATTGAAAAAGTCAACAAAAGTCAACACCCGGGTTCGCTTAGTCCAAACCCGAAATTTGGACAAAAATATGATTACCCATTCACCCCTGAGCCTGGTTATGTAATTGATTTTGGAATCCGACCTCAATTTGAGGTTTAAATCCCCAATTTTTGAAATCCCTAGTTTCTACCCAAAAACCCCCAATTCCACCATGAAAACCTTAGATTTTAGATTGAAATCTTGTAAAATACAGTGAAAGATTGAAAGAAATTAGTTTAGAATCACTTACCAATGATTTGGGGAAGAAAAGTTCTTTGGAAAATCACCTCTAAGGTATTAGGTTTTGAAAATTTGAAGAATGGGAGAAAAATCTTGTCTAAGTCATATTTACCCAGTTGCAGATGTCGCAAGTGCGTGCGAAGCCCGCAAATGCGAGAAAGTTTCACAAATGCAAACCTTCCACACTCCTGCTACCTTCGCAAATGCGAAGACTGGTTCGCAAATGCGAACTCTGATGGGACCGCATATGCGACACAATCATCGCAAATGCAAAGAATGCCTTCCCAGACCCATATCACAAATGCGAATCTGTGTGGCCCAGCTTCTCTTTGCATTTGTAATGAGAAGCTCACAAATGCAAACCCCTCAGAGGTCGCAAATGCGATGTATGATCTCGCAAATGCGAGATTAGAGGCCTGCAACAAGATAAGATACACCAGCAATTTCTCCAAGTCAAATTTCACTTCGTAGCCTATCTGAAACTCACCCGAGCCCCGGGGCTCTAAACCAAAAGTGCACACAAGTCTAAAAATATCATACAAACTTGCTCGTGCGATCAAATCGCCAAAACAACACCTAGAACTACGAATTTAGTACCAAACCAAATGAAATTTTCAAGAAAACTTTGAAACTTCTATTTTCACTACTGGACGTCCGAATCACGTCAAACCAACTCCGTTTCTCACTAAATTTCGCAGACAAGTCATAAATATGGTATTGGACCTATACCGGGTTCCAAAACCAAAATACAGACCTGTTATCCAAAAAGTCAAACTTTGATCAAACACTTCAAATTCATTAAGCCTTTAACTTTCAAATTTCGACAAAGTCCGATATCTCGGGCTAGGGACTTCCAATTTCGATTCCGGTCATATGCCCAAGTCTCAAATTACGATACAGACCCACTGGGATCGTCAAAACATGAGTCCGGGTCCGTTTACCAAAAATATTGATCGAAGTCAATTCAAATGAAGTTTTAGGCAAAAATTCTTATTTTTATCAACTTTTAACATAAAAGCTTTACGGAAACACACCTGGACTGCGCACGCAAATTGAGGAGGGTAAATAATGAGATTTTTAAGGCTTAAAAGTGAAGGATTAAGTTCTAAAACATAAGATGACCTTTCGGGTCATCACATTCTCCACCTCTAAAACAACCGTTTATCTTCGAACGGACATAAAAAAGTACTTGGGTTGGTGAAAAGGTGGGGATATCTACTCTGCATGTACGACTAGGACTCCTAGGTAGTTGCTTCAACGGGATGACTTCTCCAATGCATTCAAAGTGAAGGATAACTCTTCGATCTTAATTAACGAACATGTCGTGCAAGAATAGCCACCGGTTCCTCCTCATACGTCAAATCTTTTTCTAACTGGACAGTGCTGAAATATAACACGTGGGATGGATCATTGTGATACTTCTAGAGCATGGACACATGGAATACCGGATGAACTGCTGACAAACTAGGTGATAATGTGAGCCTGTAAGCTACCTCACCCTCTCTCTAAAGAATCTCAAAAACTCTGATGTATCCAGGGCTCAACTTGCCCTTCTTTCGAAACCTCATTACACCCTTCGTGGGTGACACACGGAGCAACACTCTCTCTTCGACCATGAATGCAACATCTCGAACCTTACAGCCGGTATAACCCTTTTGCCTGGATTAAGTTGTGTGAAGTCTATCCTGAATGATATTAACCTTATCTAAGGAATCCTGTACCAAATCTGTACCCAATAATCGAGACTCTCCCGACTCAAACCATCGAACCAGCAATCGACACCATCTACCATATAATGCCTCATATGGAGCCATCTAGATGCTCGACTGATAGTTGTTGTTGTAGGCAAACTTCGCTAGCAGCAAGAATTGATCCCACGAGCCTCCAAAGTCTATAACACAAGCACGAAACATATCCTCCAATATATGAATAGTGCACTCGGACTGTCCGTCCATCTGAGGATGAAATGCTATGCTCAGCTCAACCTGCGTGCCCAACTCACGTTGTACTGCCATCCAAAAATGCGAGATGAACTACGTACCTCGATCAGAAATGATAGACATGGGCACACCATGAAGATGAACGATCTCACGGATATAAATATCTGCCAACCACTCTAAAGAATAAGTAATTGCAACAGGAATGAAATGCGCCGACTTGGTCAGTCTATCCATAATGACCCAAGCTGCATCGAACTTCCTCTAAGTCTGTGGGAGTCCAACAATAAAATCCATAGTGATACACTCCCACTTCCACTCAGGAATTTCTATCTTCTGAAGCAAACCATCAGGTCTCTAATGCTCGTACGTTACTTGCTAACAATTTAGACAATGATCTACATATGCCACTATATCCTTCTTTATTCTCCTCCACCAATAATGCTGTTGCAAGTCCTGATACATCTCGGCTCCTGGATGAATAGAATATTGGGAACTGTGGGCCTCCTCTAGAATCAACTCACGAAGTTCATCCATATTAGGTACACAAACATGACCATGCATCCTCAAAACTCCATCATTTCCAACCGTAACCTGCTTGGCATCACCGTGCCACACTGTGTCCCTAAGGACAAGAAAATGAGGGTCATCATACTGCTGCTCCCTGATGTGCTCAAATAATAAATACCGAGCGAGCGTACAAGCTAGAACACGACTAGGCTCAGAAATATCCAACCTCACGAACTGATTGGCCAAGGTCTGAACATCTAATGCAAGCAGTCTCTCATTGACTGGAATGTATGCAAGGCTGCCCATTCTCACTGACTTTCTATTCAAAGCATCGGCCACCAAGTTGGCCTTCCTAGGATGATACAAAATGGTGATATCATAGTCTTTCAATAGATCCAACTACCTCATCTGCCTCAAATTGAGCTCTTTTTGTTTGAACAAGTACTGCAAACTACGATGGTCCGTGAATACCTCACACGACACGCCATAAAGATAGTGCCTCCAAATATTCAGTGCATGAACAATGGCTGCCAGCTCTAAGTCATGGACATGGTATTTCTTCTTGTGAACCTTCAACTGCCGCGACGCATATGCAATCACCCTGCTATCCTGCATCAATACCGCACCAAGTCCAATACGAGATGCATCACAATATACTGTATAAGGCCCTAAACCTGTAGGCAACACCAACACCGGCGTCGTAGTCAAAGCCTTCATGAGCTTTTAAAAGCTCGCCTCACACTCGTCTGACCATGTGAACAGGGCACCCTTCTGGGTTAACCTGGTCAATGGGGCTGCTATAGATAAGAACCCCTCCACAAACCGACGGTAATAAACCGCCAATCCCAAGAAACGCCGGATCTCTATAGCTAAAGTTGGTCTAGGCTAGTTCTTGACGGCTCAATCTTCTTAGGATCCACCTGAATACCCTATACTGATACAATGTGACCAAGAAAGTGACTGAGCTCAACCAAAACTCGCATTTTGAAAACTTAGCGTACAACTGGTTGTCCCTCAGAGTCTGAAGAACGATCCGAAGATGCTGCTCATGCTCCTCCCGACTACGGGAGTAGATCAAGATATCATCAATAAACACAATCACAAAGGAATCAAAATACAGCTTGAACACCCAGTTCATGAAATCCAAAAATGTTGCTGGGGCATTTGTCAGCCCAAATATCATCACTAGAAACTCATAACGCCCATACCGAGTACAAAAAGCTGTCTTAGGGACATCAGATGCCCTAATCCTCAACTAATGGTAGCCAGACCTTAAATCGATCTTTGAAAACACCCTTGCACCCTGAAGCTGATCAAATAAGTCATCAATCCTTGGTAATGGATACTTGTTCTTGATGGTGACTTTGTTCAAATGCCGATAATCTATTCACATCCTCATCGATCCATTCTTCTTCTTCACAAACAACACAGGCGCACCCCAGGGTGAGACACTAGGTTAATGTAGCCCTTATCAAGCAAATCTTACAAATGCTCCTTTAATTCTTTCAACTCTGGCGGGGCCATATGGTATGGTAGAATGGAAATAGGCTGAGTGCCCGGAACCAAGTGAATACAAAAGTCGATATCTTTGTCGGGTGGCATCCCCGACAGATCTGCAGAAAACACCTCTGAAAACTCATGAATAATAGGTACCGAATATATGGAAGGAACCTCCGCACTGGAATCGCGGACAAAAGCCAAATAAGCTACACACCCCTTCTCGACCATATGTCGAGCCTTCACATTAGATATAACCATATTGGTAGAGTGTCCTGGAGTCCCTCTCCACTCCAATCGAGGCAACTGCGGCAAGGCTATGGTCACTGTCTTAGCGTGACAATCTAATATAGTATGATAGAGTGAGAGCCTGTCTATACCCAAAAGGACATCAAAATCGACCATATCGGGAAGTAGGAGATCTACACGAGTCTTAAGAATCCCAATGATAACCATACACGTACGATAAACACAATCTACAATAATAGCATCTCCCACAGGGGCAAACATATACACAGGGGCACTCAAAGAATCACGAGGCATAACCAAATATGAAGCAAAAAAGAATGACACGTAGGAATAAGTACAACCCGGATCAAATAGTATTGAGGCATCTCTACTGCAAACTGAAATCGTACATGTGATAACCGCATCAGATGACTGAACCTCAGGCCTGGATGGAAAAGCATTCATCGGGGCTAGGGCCTACCAGTCTAAACTACATCTCGTGGACGGGCCCTGGCCGGCTGGTCTCTACCTCTAGCGGCCTGAGCTCCACCTCTAATGCCCCAACCTCCACCTCTAGCTGCTTGACCCCTACCCCTAGCTGCCTGAGAGGGCAGTGAAGCACCTGGTGCCGGAACTATGGCACGAGAACCCTAATACTGAGAACTGCTCGATGCTGAGGGCAAAACCTAGCAATGTGCCTCGGATTACCACAAGTATAACAAGACCTCGACTGCTGACCCTGAAACTGTCCCTGTCAGCCTGAGTAACCACCCTAAAAACATTGGAGCAGAGGTGCACTAATAGGAGCTAGTGGGGCACTATAGGCTAACTGATCGGAATAATGCGTATGAGGGCCACGACCACATGAAGCACCATGGGATGCTTGGAGTGCAAAATGAAACGGCTTGGGAGGATGTCCTCTACCAAAATTACCCCTACCTCCAGATGAGGCACCATTGAATCCACCAGAATGACGAGGCTTGTCAAATCCCTAACCACTCCCCTGAGCTAGTACCATCTCGATTCGCTTGGCAACATCGGCAGCCGTCTGAAAAGAAATATCACTCCTAGTCTCCTTATACATCTACAATCTGATAGGCCGAGCAAATCCCTCAATAAATCTCCTCACCTTCTCTCTCTCTTAGTAGGAAGCAGAAGAATAGCGTGACGGGCCAAATCCACATATCGGGTCTCATATTGAGTGACAGACCTAGACCCTGCTGAAAATGCTCGAACTACCTCCGATAGTCCTCTCTCAATGTGACATGAAGGAACTTCTCAAGAAAGATCTGAGAGAACCGATCCCAAGTAAGAGCCGGCGACGTAGCTGGTCTAGTCAACATATAATCCCTCCACCATTTCTTGGCGGAACCCGATAACTGGAATGCAGCAAAATCAACCCCATGGTTCTCCAATATGCGCATGTTCTGTAACACCTCATAATAGCTGTCAAGAGTCCTGGGGGTCCTCTGAAGATGCACCGCTGAAGTGAACTGGAAAAAGCTTGGAAAACCTATCCAATCTCCATAAAGCCTTGGAGGACATAGTTGATCCATTACCAGTCTGTGCCGCAACACCTGGCTGAACTACCTTAACAGGCTAGGCTGCTGGAGTATGAAAGTGGGAAGTCATCTGATCCGAAATATGAGTAGCGGGAGTCTGTGCTCCTCCCCCAGCCTGAGAGATGGCTGGTGCTACAGGAAATATGTCGGCCTGTGCCACATTCTCCATGACGCCCACTAAACAGACCAAAGAATCCTGAAGCACAGGGGTGGCAATGAACCCCTCCTGGACTTGAGCTGGTCCTAATGGAACAATCTGGGCTGGAGCCTCCTCATCAAACTCCACCTGGGGCTCCGCCGCTGGTGTTGCTACTCGGGCTCTAGACTGAGCCCTACCCCTGCCTCGGCCTCTGGCACGACCTCGGCCTCGACCTCTGCCTTTCGTATGAGCTGCCACTGGGGACTCTGGTTGCTTCTCAACTGAGGATGCGGTATGTTTTCTCGCCATCTATGAGAGAACAAAAGTAGAAGAGTCCAATTAGAAATGAGGGAACAAAGATCGCACGATAGAGAAGAACAGAAGTGACATTGTTCCTAAACTCCGTATCCCCTGGAAGATAAGTACAGATGTCTCCGTACCGATCCCTCAAACTCTACTAAGCCTGCTCGTGAATTGTGAGACCCAGGCAACCTAGTGCTTTGATACCAACTTGTCACGACCCAGAATTCCTACCGTCGGGGCCGTGATGGCGCCTAATATTTCACTTGCTAGGTAGCCAACGTTAGAGAATTATTAAGCCTATTCTTATACATTTTAGTTATTAATAGAAAATAAGCTATAACGAGCTAAAGTGAATGCAAAATTTTATAACAGCCTCAATGTATGTACTACTGCCTAGATTTGGAGTCACAATTCACGAACATTCTAGGATTTACTACAAATAAAAGTCTGAAAGAAGTACAACTATTTGAACGAAAGAAACAGTAAAATAAAAAATATAGACGGGGACTTCAAGGTCTGTGAACGCCGACAGATCTACCTTGAGTCTCCGGTGGTCCGGTCCGAGCTGCTATGTCTCTCGATCAACTAGGACCAATACCAAAATCTACACAGAAAGTGTAGAGTGCAGTATCAGTACAACCGACCCTATGTACTGGTAAGTGTCGAGCCTAAACTCAGCGAAGTAGTGATGAGGCTAAGACAAGACACCCACAAATAAACCTGTACAATTTAACATCATATGTACTAATAACAACAATGAAGGAACGAGATAAGTAATATCAGGAGGGGGACATGCCGAGGGGATCACAAGATAAAGAATCATAGCAGTAATAAGAACTTAATCTACCAATATACCTTGAACAGATAGGAACAAGTAATTACAATAAAGGAAAATGTACGGCATCACCCTTCTTACTTTTACTCTCAACCTCACAATATGATTCAATAGAAACGGCACGGTATCACCCTTCATGCATTAACTCTCTCATAACATGGCACGACATTACCCTTCGTGCATTAACACTCATAATACGGCAGGACATCATCCTTCATGCATTAACTCTCTCATAACATGGCACGACATTACCCTTCGTGCATTAACACTCATAATACGGCACGACATCACCCTTCATGCATTAACACTCACAAAACATGGCACGGCACAACCCTTCGTGCATTAACACTCTCTCTCACCAAAACAATGAACAATAACAACAGGGACATGGAAATAATAAGAACAAGTCTTACTTTAACATTTGGTTCCACAATACCAACCTCAACTTTGAACCAATACCAATCAATACCAAAGTCCGTAAACATGATAAGAACGATCAACATAATGATTAACTAGTCTAAGCATGGATAATATGATCACAGAAAGCAACAATTGCAAGAACAAGACCCACTCGCATGCTATGACCCGACAACAACGCATAGGTACTCATCACCTCACCTATACATTGTATCCAACATTCAAACACTTAGAAAATAGGAAAATAAGACATAATCACTCAAGCCAAGGTTAACCACGACACTTACCTCGCTCCAACGGCCAAACTCAAAGCACAACAACGGCTTTTCCTTTCAAACGAGCCTCCGAACCAGTAGAATCTAGAAAATTACCAACCAAATGATTCAATAAAGCCTTAGGAACTACCCATGTCTGCAAAGAATTCAATTTAGGCCATTATTGCAAAAGTCAACAAAAGTCAACACCTGGGCTCGCTTGGTCCAGACCCGAAATTTGGACCAAAACCCGATTATCTATTTACCTCCGAGCCCAGTTATGTAATTGGTTTTGGAATCCGACCTCAATTTGAAGTCTAAATCCCCACTTTTCGAAATTCCTAGTTTCTACCCCGAAAACCCCCAATTCCACCATGAAAACCTTAGATTTTAGGTTGAAATCTTGTATAATGTAGTGAAAGATTGAAAGAAACTAGTTTAGAATCACTTACCAATGATTTGGGTAAGAAAAGTTATTTGGAAAATCGCCTAAGGTTTTAAAATTTTAAAGAATGGGAGAAAAATCCCGTCTATGTCATATTTACCCAACTGCAGCTATCGCAAATACGACCTGGGCTTCGCAAATGCGAAGCCTGCAAATGTGAGAAAAGTTTCACAAATGCTAACCTCCCACACTCATGCAGCCTTCGCAAATGCGAATACTGGTTCGCAAATATAGTATTGGACCTAAACCGGGTTTCGGAACCAAAATACGGACCTGTTATCTAGAAAGTCAAACTTTGGTAAAACACTTCAAATTCATTAAGCCTTTAACTTTCAAATTTCTACAAAGTCCGATAACTAGGGCTAGGGACTTCCGATTTTGGTTCCGAGCATACGCCCAAGTCCCAAATCACGATAACCCATCGGGATCGTCAAAATAGGAGTCCAGGTCCATTTACCAAAAATGTTGACTGAAGTCAACTCAAATAAAGTTTTAGGCAAAAAATCTTATTTTTATCAACTTTTAATATAAAAGCTTTCCGAAAATACGCCCAGACTATGCATGCAAATCGAGGAGGGTAAAAAATGAGTTTTTTAAGGCTTAAAAGCACATGATTGAGTTCTAAAATATAAGATGACCTTTCGGGTCATCACACTTACACCTTATAATCTACCACCTGAGTTATGTATGACTATTCCATATATATTTTTACATTGTGTTATGCTCGGTCCACATAATTCGAAAAGTTTGATTGATGTATATTTGCAACCTTTGATTGATGAGCTAAAACAATTGTGGTATGATGGTGTTGAAACATATGACATATCAACCAAGTAGAATTTCAACTTTCGTGCTAATTTAATGTGGACTATTAATTATTTTCATGCATATGGAATGTTGTCTGGGTGAATGACTGCTAGAAAGCTTGTTTGTCCTTACTGCATGGAAAATGGTAAAGCGTTCACTTTGAAACATAACTGAAAGAAATCATGGTTTGATTGTCACCGTCAGTTCTTACTTGATTATCATAATTTTAGAAGGATGAAAAATTCATTCAAAACGAATAAAGTAGAATATGATTCGCCACATCCGATACTTTAAGGTAAGAAAATTTGGGAGAGGGTCCAGAACTTTAGTAAATTCACTGAGGCTCATCCTTCTAGATCCCCTGGATATGGTGTTACTCATAATTGGATGAAACAGAGTATATTTTGGGAGTTTCCTTATTGGAAAGATAATCTTCTCCGACACAACCTTGATGTCATTCATATTGAGAAGAGTTATTTTGACAATTTGTTCAACACAATGATAGATGTTAAAGTTAAGACAAAAGATAACTCGAAGGCTAGAATGGACTTACAAGAATATTGCAGGTGACCTAGATTATACTTGCAGACATCAAACAGTGGTAAGGTATTCAAGCCCAAAGGAAGTTACACATTCACTTTGGAGTAAAGATGACAATTTTTGATTGGGTTACGAAACTGAAGATGCCTGAGGGTTATGCGTCGAATCTGGGGAAAAAATAGATATGGAGGTAGGTAAGTTGGGCCATTTGAAAAGTCATGACTGTCATATTTTCATGGATACCTTAGTTCCTATTGCATTTTGTGGTTTGCCTGAAAGAATCTGGAAACCCATCAGAGAGATTAGTTTGTGTTTCAAAGACTTGTGCTCTACCACTTTAAGGGAAGAAAACCTACTTCAGATGGATCAGAGCATTCCTGTAACTTTTAGTAAGATGGAAAAAATATTTTCATGTGGTTTCTTTGATGTGATGTAACACCTTCCAATCCACCTTGTACACAAGGCACGACTTGGAGGGCATGTCCAATGCAGATAGAAGTATCTCTTTGAGAGGTAATATTATAAGTTTGATGTAATATTCTATTTTATTTGAATGTTCTTGGATAACATGACATTATGTAGGACAGTTGGAAAATACAAATAATTTGTTAAGCAGAGGAATAGGATTCAAGGATCTATCTGCGAAGCCTATCTTGCAAAGGAAACTGCGCATTTTTGTTCTTACTATTTTGAGAGTAACATGCCATGCTCTAGGAATAAGCCCAATTGGCACACTGTAGAATGTGTGAATGATCAATCATATCCACTAATGTCCATCTTCGATCAACCAGGTCGATGTTCTAAGAATGTTAGAAAGAGAAGTTTGAGTGATATGGATTACAAGTCAGCTATAATGCATGTGTTGCTAAATTGTCTTGAAGTTCAACAATTTTATAAGTAAGTATTGATTTATTAGTAGTCAAAATATAATATTTACAGTGCTTACATATTGATGCAAGTACTAAAAATTTTTGATGTGTCACAGTCACTTCGTGGGTCAATTTGGCCATTGTATATACGGGTTTTGATACGTGGTTCAAACAGTTTGTAAGTTTATCCTGATGATGTACCTCTAAATATATATATATATATATATA